CCGAAGGGTTCGTCAACGGAGATTCGGTTGTGGGCGGCCTGGTCGGCGGCAGCTTTGCCGGAATCACCAACAGCTATTCGACCAGCCAGGTCGCGGCCATCACCGGCACCGCAGGCGGACTGGCCGGCAGCCTGAACGCGGCGACGGTCAGCTACACCTACGCGAGCGGTGCGGTCAGCGGCGCGACTGCGACCGGCGGACTCATCGGCAGCAGCAGCGGCAGCACGGTCACAGACAGCTTCTGGAACACCACCAGTTCCGGCCAGGCCACCTCGGCGGAAGGAACCGGCAAGACAGCGGCGGAGATGAAGCAGCAGGCCACCTTCACCAACTGGGACATCGACAGCGTGGGCGGCACGGGCAAGACATGGCGCATCTACGAAGGCAACACCGGCCCGCTGCTCAGAAGCTTTTTGACAGCACGCACGCTGGCCAATACCGTTGTGACCTATAACGGCGCGACGCAGACCACCACGGCTGCGGACGCGTTGATCACCGACGCAATTGGCCGCAATACGGGCATCTACGCAAGCTATTCAACCCAGCAAGGCTATGACCTCAGCGGCGGTGACCTGGTGATCAACAAGGCCGATCTGACTCTTGCAGCCGTCACCGACACCAAAACCTATGACGGTACACGGGACTCCAATGTTGCTGTGAATGCCGTCGGCCTGTTCGGCAGCGACAGCGTGACCGCAGACCAGTCTTTCGGCAGCAGGAATGTGATGGGTACAGGCGGCAGTACGCTGTCGGTTGACGCAGGCTACACCGTTGCCGACGGCAATAACGGCGGCAACTACAACGTCACGACCACGAACTGCCGCGGGCACCATCAACAAGGCCAGCCTGACACTTGCCGCCGTCACCGACACCAAGACCTACGACGCCACCACAGGCATCGACAGCAGTCGTCAGCAGGACAGGCCTGGTGGGCGGAGATATGGTGATGGCAGCCCAGTCTTTCGGCAGCAGGAATGTGATGGGTGCAGGCGGCAGCACGCTCTCGGTTGACGCGGGCTACACCGTTGCCGACGGCAATAACGGCGGCAACTACAACGTCACCACGACAACTGCAGCCGGCACCATCAACAAGGCCAGTCTGACGCTTGCAGCTGTGACCGACACCAAAACCTACGATGCCACCACGGCCTCCGGCGCGTCAGTCATGGCCACAGGGCTCCTGGGCAGCGACAGCGTAACGGCCGATCAGTCCTTCGCCAGCAAAAACGTGATGGGCAGCAACGGCAGCACGCTCTCGGTGGATACGGGCTACACCGTCGCCGACGGCAACAGCGGCGGCAACTACAACGTCACCACGACAACTGCAGCCGGCACCATCAACAAGGCCAGCCTGACGCTTGCCGCCGTCACCGACACCAAGACCTACGACGCCACCACGGCATCGTCAGCTGCCGTCAGCAAGACCGGCCTGGTGGGCGGCGACACCGTGACCGCAGCGCAATCCTTTGGCAGCAAGAACGTTCTGGGCGCTGGTGGCAGCACGATTTCAGTTGACGCCGGTTACACGGTCGCTGACGGCAACGGCGGCGGCAACTACAACGTCACCACAACAACTGCCGCCGGCACCATCAACAAGGCCAGCCTGACGCTTGCCGCCGTCACTGACACCAAAACCTACGACGCCACCACGGCATCGACGGCCGCCGTCAGCCAGAGCGGGCTGTTGGGCAGCGACAGCATCACCGGCCTGAGCCAGTCCTTTGCCAGCAAGAACGTTATGGGCACTGGTGGCAGCACGCTTTCAGTCGACACAGGTTACACCGTCAACGACGGCAACAGCGGCAACAACTACGTCGTCACCAGCAGCGGCACCGCATTCGGCACCATCAACAAGGCCAGCCTGACGCTGGCCGCCGTGACCGACACCAAAACCTATGACGGCACTGTGGCCTCCAGCGGCGTCGTGGGCAATAGCGGTCTGGTGGGCGGCGACACCGTCACTGCAGCGCAATCCTTCGGCAGCAAGAATGTCATGGGCAGCAATGGCAGCACGCTGTCTGTGGCCAGCTATAGCCTGAATGACGGCAACGGCGGCGGCAACTACAACGTGACGACGACAACTGCAGCAGGCACCATCAACAAGGCCACGCTGAACATTACCGCCACGCCGGATGACAAGGTTTATGACGGCACCACGCTGGCAACGGCCAGCTATAGCGACAACCGCATCGCAGGCGATGTGCTGAGCTATGCGGCGACTGCCAGCTTTGCCAGCAAAAACGTCGGCAACGGCATTGCCGTGACGGTGGGCGGCATCACCACCAGTGGTGCCGATGCGGGCAACTACACGGTGGGCTCAACGACTGTCGGCAACACGGCTGACATCACACCGAAGACCCTCACTGTGACTGCCAACGACGACAGCAAAATGACCGGCACGCCCTACAGCGGCGGCAACGGCGTGAGCTACAGCGGCATCGTGGCTGGTGAAACTGTGGCGGGCGTACTGACCGGAAGCCTGGCTTACAGTGGCAACTCGCAGGGGGCCAACACGCCTGGCGAGTACGACATCACGCCTGGCGGCCTCACCGCCAACAGCAACTACCGAGTGAACTT